GGAGGGGGAGTGGGCTTTAAAGGAGGGCTTGGAGAGGAAGCTGAGAGAAGAGGGACAGTGTGGGGTGTGGGCGGGTGGGAGCATGGTGGGGAAGGGTCTCACTAGAGTGTGGGGGCAGGGGTGCTGTATGGAGTCGGGCAGGTGGGGAGAGAGGAAGGAGCGGCCAAGCAGGGCACGGATTCTGGAAAGAGGACTCAGTCTGGGTCCCAGGATTAGATATGAGGCAAGTCATCCCTGTAGGACATGCACGGAGGGGAGGGGTTTGGAGTAGAGGCAGGGCCTCAGGAGGAGGGGCGGGGCTCCTGAGACCAAAGAGGGGCCTTGGGAGGAGGGGCGGGGCTCCTGAGACCGAAGAGGGGCCTTGGGAGGAGGGGCGGGGCTCCTGAGACCGGAGAGGGGCCTCGGGAGGAGGAGGGGCGGAGCTTCTGAGGAGGGGAGGAGCCTTTGGAGGAGGAGCTGGTTTGGGGGTTTCCAGAGCAGGCCCACCTTTCCTGATGAGCTCCAGGGACTGTTGCCTCTTCTCCAGGCCAAACTTCACCCACTGTTCTGTCTGGTCTAGGTAGTGTACCGCAATAACTGTGGGTGTCATGCCAATCATGTTCTGCTCCCCACAGCCTGAGGGGGTCACGATCAGGTGTTTCAGCCGCTCTGCATCCACTGCGTCCTCGACCATCTGAGTCACTGGGGTCCCTGCAGCCGAGGGTGGAGGAAAAGGTCTGTTCAAGCCGCCTCCTTCCAGAGGAGGCCTAGAGCTTGGGGACCGCAGGAGGGGGGTCCTATGTGGGTTTAGGGGGAGGTTGTACCCCATCTTGGACATTTAATTTCACTTATTTAAAATAATGGCAGTAGCCATGGACAGCTCTGGCTTAGAATTCATCCCAACTGTCTGTTGGAGAACTCCACATAGCATCTCATTTAACGCCCAAACCACTTTAGAGCTAGGTACTGTCTCTTGCTCTGTATGGTAGCATGTCTGAGAGGTGCAACAACCCCTTCTTGCTCTTCCTGGATCCATGCAAGAAGGGCAGATCCTCTGCACTTGGCCGGTGTGGCTTCTCATTAAATATCTTTACCAGCAAATGCTATTTGCTAAACTAACTTCTGCAGGAGGCTCCTGCAGGCCGACCCAAGCCGCACTGTTCCAGATGAAGTGGGGCTTGGAAGTGCTATGGGTCAATCCTCACAGCAAACCAGGCAGAGAGTGTCTGTGGTGTTTGAATGAGAATGGCCCCCAGAGGCTCATGTATTTGAATGTTTGGTGCCCAGTTAGTGGAACTGTTTGGGGAGGATTAGGAGGTGTGGCCTTGTTGGAGGAGGTGTGTCACTGGGGTGAGCTTTGGGGTTTCAAAAGCACAGAGCAGGCCCAGCCTCTCTCCTTCCTCTGCCTGTGGATCAGGACGTAGCTCTCAGCTACTGCTCCAGCACCACGCCTGCCTGCTCCCTGCCGAAAAGATCACAGACTAAGAGTTGCCGTGGTCAGTGTCTCATCACAGCTATAGAACAGTGACTAAGACAGTATCATTCCCCTCGTTTTTCACATGGGGAAACTGAGGCACAGGGAGGCATTATGTTAAGAAATGAGTCCCAGGTCAATCAACTTGAAATGGCAGAATTGAGATCCGAATCCTGCATCCTGGTCCAGGGTCTCCCCCCTCTGAGAGATGGAGCTCCGTTCGTAGCTCCCAGCCACCCTGACGCCTGCCCAGACCCTCATGCCAGGGAAGAGGCCATCGTACCTTGCAGGAGAATTCTGGTCTCCGAGTCTGTGTCTGGCACTTGGTCACTGAGGTCTGCGGCGGGCACATCCTCCCTCTGCACTCCCTCTGCAGGGTGAGTGTGGAAGAGACTTGGGTGGTTCCAGCTTCCCCTGTCCCTGGGTCCCTACACCACCCTGCCCACTCTGCCTGCCTCTCACCTTGCCCTAGGCGCTCTGGATCCAGTGTCCGGACGGCCACGGTTTTGTTGACTCTCATGCCTTCCGGCTGTGAAGGAGGGTGGACAAAACGACAAGAGATACATGGATGGAGAACAGGACGCTGTTCGGAGAATGACCCCTTCAGAAGGACTCTGCCTCTTCTCCCTGTGTGACCTCTCTGTGTCTCAACTTCTGAGGAGGAGGAGGCGGTACAAACACCTACCTTACACTCTTGTGTGCGCATGTGTGTGAGAGTATGGATGCATGAGTGTGCATGTATGTGAGTGTAAGGTGCACATGTTGTTTGCATATGTGTGAGTGTATATATACACATATGCATGTGTTTGGGAGTGTGCATGTATGTGTGTGTGTGCATGCCTCTGTGTGTGCATGTGTATGAACGAAGTGTGCATGTGTGTATGCATAATGTGTGTGCATGTGTGTATGTATAGTGTGTGTATGTGTGTGTACATATGTGAATGTATTGTGTGAGTGTGCATGCATGTGTGTGTGTATGTGTGTGTTGAGTGTGTGCAAGCATGTGAAAATGTCAATGCCATATGTCTTCTTCTATGCCTATCTTTTGAGACGGAGTCTCTCCGCGAGTCAGCCACTTCCTCTGGCATCTGTCTGGGGGCTGAGGATCTGCACTCAGGTCCTCAGGCTTATACAGCAGTTGCGTTGCCAGGGGAGCCTCTGCCTGGGACCTTTTAACTTTTTCAAACCCGAGACAAGGTCTCTTTAAGTTACCTCTGTTTCTCTCAAATTCACAATCCTCTTGCCCCAACCTCCCCAGTGCTCGGAGGACAGGTCGTACCCCACTGAGAACAGAGCCCAAAGCTTCACATGAAGTAGCTAGCTCTCTACACACAGCCCTGGCCAGCTCTAATCTCTGTGACACCCGGGCCCTAAGATGATCCCTGGTGTCTCCGAGCCCAGGTCAACAGCAGGGAGAGCCGAGGGCAGGGACAGCAGATGCCCCTGAGGACTCACCACAACCTTCAGCGTCTTCTTAACACCATCGCTGATGAAGGTGCCAAAGACGGCAGCCTTGACCTCCACCTCCTGGAGGCCGATCTTCAAGGGGACAAGGACGTATGGCACAGCCACAGAGGACTTGGCAGGGATTTCGATGGTCTGGAGGTAGCGCTTCTTGGCAGTGGCCAGGCTGCAGAAGGCTGGGTTGTGCAACAGCTCCACCCTCACCTACAGGGAGGGGGGACCAGGGCAGGTGAGGGGGGACCA